CCCCCCCCCCCGCCCCCAACTTCCCTTTCTAAACACCAGTGACCTGCACGCCTCTCCTTCATCCCTTCATGGCCCAGCCTGGTCCCCACTCCCTAACCCTGGCTCCCACCCCCAGCCCCGTGACATCCATCATTGCTGCTGTGGTGGGCATTCTGCTGGCTGTGGTCGTGGGGCTGGTCCTCGGCATCCTAATCAAGCGAAGGCGGCAGAAGATCCGGAAGTACACGATGCGGAGGCTGCTGCAGGAAACCGAGGTGAGGCAGTCTGAGGGCCTCCCTGTTGGGTTGGGGTCTGCCGCCCAGCCTCTCTCACTGACACGCTGCCCCCCTCACCCCAGCTGGTGGAGCCGCTGACGCCTAGCGGAGCGATGCCCAACCAGGCTCAGATGCGGATCCTGAAAGAGACAGAGCTGAGGAAGGTGAAGGTGCTTGGATCCGGAGCTTTTGGCACAGTCTACAAGGTCAGGGGCGGTCCCAGAGGATGCGTCAGGGTGTGGCCAAGCCTTCTGTGGGGAAGGCAGCGGAGAGCAGGGGGTTGGTGCTGTTCGGTGGATTGGAGGCTGGAACAAGGGGGAAGGGAGTGGAGAGCGGGGCTAAATCATGGGGTTGGCCCCAGGGTGGGGAGGGCATTCGGAGCACAAGTAAGAACCTTCTGGATGACTACAGATTGTATCTGGTGTGTCCTCCTCCTGCTCACACCCTCCTCTCTCTGCCCAGGGCATCTGGATCCCTGATGGGGAAAATGTGAAAATCCCAGTGGCCATCAAAGTGTTGAGGGAAAACACATCTCCCAAAGCCAACAAAGAAATTTTGGATGTGAGTCCCTCCACCCTCTCCAGCCGGGAGTATAGGAGGGAATCCCGGGCTGCAGGTCTGGGCTCTGGTCTCTCTCTCTTCACTGGGGTTTGAGGAGACACTTTGGTCCCCCAAACCTCGACTTTTAACCTTCTGCCTGTGGGCCATGGTTCCGGTTTGTGACGGACGGGGTTGGATTGAGTGAGGGTCCCCAGTGATGCCTCGGCCCTCAAAGAGGGGTGTGTGGTGGTTGGAGGGTTGTGCTCTCCCACACCCTCTCAGTGTGCACCTTGCCCCCAGGAAGCATATGTGATGGCTGGCGTGGGCTCCCCATATGTGTCCCGCCTTCTGGGCATCTGCCTGACATCCACGGTGCAGCTGGTAACACAGCTCATGCCCTACGGCTGCCTCTTAGACCATGTCCGAGAGCACCGCGGGCGCCTAGGCTCCCAGGACCTGCTGAACTGGTGTGTGCAGATCGCCAAGGTATGTACTTAGGGGACCTGGGCTCTGCGGGTGTCCTTGGGGGCAAGCCTCTGTCTCCACTCAGGGCTAGGATGGGGAGGTTTTCTGGGAGAATACGGCCAGAGTGTGGTCCACATAGATGCCTCTGATCGCAGGGGATGAGCTACTTGGAGGACGTTCGGCTTGTGCACAGGGACCTGGCTGCCCGGAATGTGCTGGTCAAGAGTCCCAACCATGTCAAGATTACAGACTTCGGGCTGGCTCGGTTGCTGGACATTGACGAGACCGAGTACCACGCGGATGGGGGCAAGGTTAGAGGAGGGAGCAGAATGAGGCAAGGTGGGGTGGGGTCTGGCCCCTGGGAGAACTCTTAAGAACAGCCATCTCCCCACCACACCTAGTTTGAGGACCCTTTTGCTCTCCCAGGTGCCCATCAAGTGGATGGCGCTGGAGTCCATTCTCCGCCGGCGGTTCACCCACCAGAGCGATGTGTGGAGCTACGGTGTGTGGCCGGGAGGGTTGGAAGGAGGGGTGGACCAGGAGCTGTGGCCCGGGGCCGGGGCGGGGGGGCGGGGGACATGGAGGGAAGAAGAGAGCAGGAATGGGAGAATTAATGGAGACATGAATGTGGGAGGGAAGGAAGGGGCTGCCAGGGTCTGTGCACTTCCCTGGGACTAGGGAAAGGCTGGGTGGCTCCTGCCCCTCGGTGTTGCACCCCCCCCAACCTTTCCCCCGTGGTGCCAGGCTCTTGGGCAGAGCCTCTGGGGCTCAGTGCACTAAAGCGTCCTCTTGTCCGCACCCCCCCCCAACCCTACCCCCATCTCTGCCGCAGGTGTGACTGTGTGGGAACTGATGACTTTTGGGGCCAAACCTTACGATGGGATCCCAGCCCGGGAGATCCCTGACCTGCTGGAGAAGGGGGAGCGGCTGCCCCAGCCCCCCATCTGCACCATTGACGTCTACATGATCATGGTCAAATGTGCGTGGCTGAGCTGTGCTGCCTGCCTGGAGGAGGGGTGTGAGATCCGGGGGGGAGGGGCCTCAAAGGGGGATGGGAGGGGACCAAGAGCAAGCTGGGTCCCTAGTATGGTTAAAGGAGCCTCAGAAGGGTCTCACTTCCCTTCTACAGTACCAGTCAGAGGAGCTCTAGAAGACTGGCTAGGAAGAGACTTCTATGCAAAATAGAAAGGGGAAACTAGTAGAGATTCTCAAAGGATCTAGCTCAGGACCTGAGTCACAAGACCTCTTCTCTACCTCCCGGGGGCTCGGGCTCCACTAGCGGGGGTGGGGGGGGTTGTTGTCTAGACCAGACCGGAGAGGGAGGGAGTGGGGCCGCACACAGGCTCCACTGGAACCAAGATGCTGAGCTCCGTCCTGCCCCCAGGTTGGATGATAGACTCCGAATGTCGACCACGGTTCCGGGAGCTGGTGGCCGAATTCTCCCGCATGGCCAGGGACCCCCAGCGCTTTGTGGTTATCCAGGTATTGGGCCTTCCCGCTCCATCCCTGCCTCTGACTAAAGAGCACTCTGCCACAGAGGGTGGGAAGGGAGAGGATTCGGGCTGTGGGCCTCTGAGCCCAGCCCTTGCCTGATTTGTCAGACCTTGTCCTCCCTGAGCCGTCCTAGGGAGGCTGTGTGCGGGGCTGGGGGGAGGCCGCCACACTGTCTCCCTCCTCCCCAGAATGAAGACTTGGGCCCCGCCAGCCCGTTGGACAGCACCTTCTACCGTTCGCTGCTGGAAGATGATGACATGGGGGACCTGGTGGATGCTGAGGAGTACCTGGTACCCCAGCAGGGGTTTTTCTGTCCAGACCCTGCCCCAGGTGCTGGGGGCCCGGCCCACCACAGGCACCGCAGCTCATCCACCAGGGTCAGTGCCCTCGGTCACACTGTGGTGGGTGGGTATACTTACTCCCCCACAGACTAGGGTCCCTTCCTCCTATGTCACCCCTCCCAACAGTCACCTCTCATGGAGACCCCATTATCCCTGAGGATTCCTACTGCCTTCCAACCCCTGACCTCTTCCTCTCCACGGTGACTCTGTTGAACCTCAATGGTGACTTGTTCATCTCCTGTGACCCTGTCACCTCCCATGGAGTCTCCATCCCAGATCCATGAATGACCCCATCATAACCTTCTCTTGTCTCCAGAGTGGCGGTGGTGAGGTGACACTGGGACTGGAGCCCTCCGAGGAGGAGCCCCCCAAGTCTCCACTGGCACCCTCAGAGGGGGCTGGCTCTGACGTGTTTGATGGCGACTTGGGAATGGGGGCAGCCAAGGGGCTGCACAGCCTTCCGCCACAGGACCCCAGTCCTCTACAGCGGTACAGCGAGGACCCTACAGTACCCCTGCCCCCTGAGACTGATGGCTACGTTGCCCCCCTGACCTGCAGCCCCCAGCCTGGTATGGAATCCAGGCCCAAGCTGAGAGATTGGGAGGGAAGTGGGGGAGGGAGCTGGGGGTGTGTGGGCAATGGTGGTAGCTGGGACACAGGAGTTCCTTCCCCTAACAAGCCCCCTCCTCTTGCCCTTTCAGAATATGTGAATCAGCCAGAGGTTTGGCCGCAGCCCCCCTCGCCCCTAGAAGGCCCTCTGCCTCCTTCTCGACCTGCCGGTGCCACTCTGGAAAGGCCCAAGACTTTGTCCCCCAAGACTCTCTCCCCTGGCAAGAATGGGGTTGTTAAAGACGTTTTTGCCTTTGGGAGTGCTGTGGAGAACCCTGAGTACTTGGCACCCCGGGGCAGGGCTCCCCCTCAGCCCCACCCTCCTCCAGCCTTCAGCCCAGCATTTGACAACCTCTATTACTGGGACCAGGACCCATCAGAGCGGGGCTCTCCACCCAGCACCTTTGAAGGGACCCCTACAGCAGAAAACCCTGAGTACCTGGGCCTGGACGTGCCAGTGTGAGCCTTTTGGCCCAAGTCTGCCGAGGCCCCGCTGAACCCTCGGGGAGTAGGGAAGGCCTGACTTCTGGCCTGAGTCGGGATGAGGCAGGAAATGGGCCCTTGGCCCACAGCAAGGGGATCCTGCCATACCAGGAACCTTCCTTCCTGCTCAAATCCCAGGTGGCTGAGAGGGGCCCAGCCTGGTTGGTTGAGAGGGCAGCACTGGGGAGTCTTGACCATCTTTGGAGCACTGCCCCAGCCAACTCTTGGGTCCCATGGATGCCACAGCCAGTCTCCTCATCACAGGGAGCAGCTCAGCCTGGTTCTCTTATTCTAGATCTTGACACTGAAGGACGTAGGGAAGCTGGGCCTAGAAGGGGAGGAGGCTCCAAGGGAGTGTCTTAGGAACAAGAGCAACCCATTCAGAGACTGTCCCTGAGATCCAGCTCTGCACCCAGGAAGAAGGGAGCAGCAAAGCTGCCCAGATCCAGTTCTTGTACAGAGTGCTTTTCTTGTTTTGTTTTTACTTTTTTTTTTTTTTTTTTTTAAGATGAAATAAGGACTCGGGGAGAGCGGGTATTGTGGAGGGGGGTGGGACCCTGGGGTTGGGGGAAGGGTGTCCTTTCTCCACACCCACTTTCTCCATTTGCAAATATATTTTGGAAAACAGCTGGGCACCAGCCTATGTCTGGGGTGGCTCTGTGCCAACCCTTACTGCTCACCTAACTTACACTCAAGTCATCTTTTCCTGGAGGAAGTGGCTAGGAATCAAGAAAGCTTGAATGAGGAGTCTATCCTTCTGTTTCCTGGCTTTTGGGTGGGGGGTGAGGAAATCTTCAAGTTGGGATTATGATCTGAGAGCCCTTTGACAACCAGATCATTCTAGTTTAGAAAAAATGAATTCCTAAGGCCACCCACCGGAATGGGGGTTATTTCCTCCCTGTGGGGAGGGGGAGAGGAGGGAGGGGAAAGAAAGGACTCATTTTCATTGCCTTGGCTGTGAGAGACCAGATCATTAGAAGTAACTATCCAGAAAAAGTCCACCCACCCAGCAGAGCTCCCTGGTGGTATAAAGGCTGGGCTGGCCTATGCTACCAACCCCCCCGCCCAAACACACAAACACTAGTTTGGTACAGGTGTCTGTAATGCCACTTTATTGCCAACAGCTGACACTGCCCAAGGCTAGTGGAAGGGAAGTTAGAACTGTGGTGGCATTTGACCGGCACGGCTAAGCTGGAGTGTGGAGCAGACTTTCTCGGGCACTGATCCTGGGAAGGGGGTATAAGGCGGCTGTGGAAATGTCCATGGAGAAGGTCTCTCTCCCACCCCCAAGACCACAGCAGCTTCTATTCCCTCCTGGTACCCAAAGGGACAAAGTGGAGTCTCTTAGCTTACCAGGACCCAAGTGAGGGGGAAAAAGGCAGTGGGGAGCCCTCAGCAGGACCAAACGGGAGACCAAGGCCTGGGTCCCAGAACAGAGCAGGAACCCAGAATCACGTGTAGTTACAGGATGACGCAGGGAGGACGGCTGTTCGTGATCTTTTCCAGGGGTTCTCCGTTACTGGCTCTTCGGATGGCCTCAATGAGCTAGAGGGCAGACGTGGAATGGGATGATCCATTGCAGGGGAAGGTTGGACCGGGGCCTCCCGACATTGTAAATACTCACATCTTTCTCATAAGGGAAGCCCCCATTCTCCAGCTTGGAGAACACCAGCTGTCCATTGATTTCGATCTCAAAGGCCCCTGGTATTAAATAAATCAATGAATGAACTGTATGCTGAGAACAGGCAAGTCAGGAGAGGCTCTCACACTCCTTAGACTTCAGACAGGCCCCTTCATGTCTCCACCAGCCCCATGGGAGACTAGTTCTCTGAGCCATTGCCCAACCCCGGCTCAAGCCAAAGGAACCCTAGGGAGGCGTCACCTGTGTGTCCTTTGAACTCCGGCTTCATAACTCAACGAAGGGCTCCCTCCCCTCCAACCCTACACTTCTACAGTCTTACCCTTTTTTTCCCTACAGGCCTCATCTGTGTCCCCCCCTCACCTTTGAAAGGGGCCTCGAGTTGGTTGGACATTTTACTATGTGCCAGACACTGCTGGCCATGATATAAAACAGCCAATTCCAGGGCTAGAAAGTGGTAGAGTTGAGATTTAGAACCCTGACTCAGCAGGTGTTCTGCGGGCCTCACCTGTGCCCCCCAGGCGCGACTCGATCTCAATGCCGGGGTACTGCTCCTTCACGGCACTCGCCAGCTCCAGGTAGGTCGCCTCAAATCCGCAGGGTTCACTAGGGACAAGACGCTTGGGCTCTGCCTGGGTTTCGGGGGAGGGGCCTCCCGTGGACCCACCCCCGTTCGGTCCGGACACCCCACAGGCTGGAGACGCTCACCAGTACTCCACCACGATGCGCACCCCACTACCCGGTTCAATTTCCCCGGGAGGGGGCGCTTCAGACGTCGGCCCCGGCTCCCCGCTCATTGCTCCCGACTCCGCTTCAGCCGCTGCTTCCGGGTGTGACGCGACGCTGCGAGCACGTGACGGGGCGGGGCCTCTGGGCGGGGCGGGCCGCGCGTTACGTCCGGGCGCCCCCTGCAGGCCGCGATTGCTGTTGCGTTTTGACCCTGTCCCCAGTTTGAGGGCTCTGGGCTGGCTGGACCGGCCCAGACCACCTTACCTGGCCCGGGTTCTCAGAGCGCCGGACTTCCCCCGCACCTCGTCACGGCTGGACGTCACGGCTTCATATACTCTCATGAAATATCTTAGACTGCAAAGTGCTTTTCAGTTTACAAAAGGAAGCGAAAGTGATGGGGCAAGCAGATCCAGGGCGTGGGGGTTGGCTGATGCTATGGAATAGTTGCCATTTCTTGTTAACATGCTGAGGGCGTCTTAAACCACCCCAGAGTTCCACACTCAAGTACTTCAGACTCTTAAGCTCCAAAGCTGTAGGCACAATCGGGGGCAGTGACTGCTTCTCCCCTGCATTCGGGAAGCTAAGGCTTTGGGGCTCCCTCTCCTCAGGCTCTGCACTCCCATCTCGCCTGCACTGTTCCTGCACCTTCCCTGCACCTCCCCGATCTCATCCTAGCCTGGGCTGGCATTATTCTCTTTTGCAACTCTGAAAATGGAGGCTGTCTTGCTGCCTTTTTCCTCCCTGGAGTCCCACCATAATATCTTAACAGGTTACCTACATTATTACCATCCCTTCAAATCATGCATTTTGGGGGCTCCTGGGTGGCGCAGTCAGTTCAGCGACCGACTCTTGCTTTCGGCTCAGGTTGTGATCTCAGTGTCGTGAGATCGAGCCCTGTGGCAGAGCATGTGCTCTGTGAGGAGTCTGCTTAAGACTCTTCTCCCTCTGGGAGCGCCTGGGTGGCTCAGTTGGTTAAGCGACTGCCTTCAGCTCAGGTCATGATCCTGGAGTCCCTGGATCGAGTCCCGCATCGGGCTCCCTGCTCTGCA